GTGGAGCAGCTCATTTTGGGGGTCATCTCAAAACATGTGGAGGAAAAGAAGGTTATCAGAAGTAGGCAACATGGATTCACCAAGGGGAAGGGAACTAATCTGGTAGCCTTCTACAAGGGCATAACTGGCTGGGTAGATGAAGGGAGAGTAGTGGCGTTGTCTACCTTGACTTCAGCAAGGCTTTCTACACTGTCTCCTATAGCATCCTCATAGGTAAGCTTAGGAAGTGTGGTTAGATGAGTGGGCAGTGGGGTGGACTGGAAATTGGCTGAAAGGTAGAGTTCAGAGGGTTCTGGTCAGTGGCACAGAGTCTAGTTGGAGGTCCGTAACAAGTGATATTCCCCAGGTGTTATAATCAAGTTTGCATTTTGAATAGGTAATTACTTTCATTGATAACTAATTGCTTTTAATGAACGACTTAATTGCTTTAAGGAATAACTAACGCTATGTATTGATATTAGTTTACATTGTAGTAAGAAATATACAAAACCTCACTTATGCTAAGAAACAACAGATGCAGGCCTTGCAAAGAAGGTCAAAGCTAAAGCTGCAGCTAATTGTGAAATTGTCCAGAAAAGGACAGGGAGGCAGGGAGACAGGTACAGGGAGTGAAAGTACACATTCTTGGCTTGTCTTCTTATCTTATGTGGTGAAACCAGAGAAACTAAGGAATGTTAAAGTGAAGACCCTCACATCCTCCCCATCCTAATTTGCATATCAGAGATCTTGATCAGTAAGGTAACCAATGATTATATTAGTATAGGAATACTAATGAAGTTAGTTAATAGGGTGGACCAATCATTGTAAATGTCAAAATTAATAGCGGGCATAACATGCATGCTTATGTTAAAATATGTTAAAGACCGTGACTTTGCAAAAAAAGGATATAAAAAATGATGTATTTTTGATATAACTTCGAAGCACACCAGGTGGAGCTATCCCCCGTGCTTCCCAGCGCTGCAATAAAGAAGTGTCTGCTTATCTGCAATTGTGTAGATAAGTTTGTCGTGATTGCGACCTTTCGTCAACACAGGGGGTCAGTACTGCGTCTGGTCTTGTTCACCATATTCATCAATGACCTGGATGAAGGGACAGGGTGCACCCTCAGCAAGTTTGCTGATGGCACAAAACTGGGAGGAGTGGCTGACACACCAGCAGGCTGTGCTGCCATTCAGTGAGACCTCGACAGGCTGGAGAGCTGGACGGAGAGGAACTTAATGAGGTTCGACAAGGGCAAGTGTAGGGTCCTGCACCTGGGAGGAATAACCCTGTGCACCGGCACAGGCTGGGGCTGACCTGCTGGAGAGCAGCTCTGTGGAGAGGGACCTGGGAGTCCTGGTGCACAGAAAGTTAGCTGTGAGCCAGCAATGTGCCCTTGTGTCCAAGAAGAGCAATGGTCTCCTGGGGTGTATCAAGATGAGTGTGGCCAGCAGGTCAAGGGAGGTTCTCCTCCCCCTCTACTCTGCCCTGGTAAGGCCTCATCTGGAGCACTGTGTCCAGTTCTGGGCCCCCCAGTTCAAGAGGGACAGGGAGCTAATGGAGAGTGTACAGCAAAGGGCTACATAGATGATTAGGGGGCTGGAGCATCTCTCTTAAGAAGAGAGGCTGAGGGACTTGGGGCTTTTTAGCCTAGAGAAGACTGAGGGGGGATCTTATCAATGCTTATAAATATCTAAAGGGCAGGTGTCAGGAGGATGGGGACAGTCTTTTTTCAGTGGTGCCCAGCAACAGGACAAGGGGCAATGGGCACCAACTGGAGCACAGGAAGTTCCACCTGAACATAAGGAAAAACTCAAAGGAAAGTGACAAAGCACTGGAACAGGCTGCCGGGAGAGGTTGTGGAGTCTCCTTCTCTGGAGACATTCAAAACCTACCTGAACCTGTTCCTGTGTGACCTGCTGTAAGTGAACCTGCTCTGGCAGGGGCTTTGGACTAGGTGATCTCCAGAGTTCCCTTCTAACCCCCACCATTCTGTGTGATTCTGTGATTTCTTTCTACTTGTGGTGCAGTGATGTCAACCACTTCCGTCTCCCATTTATACATCATACTCCCATTGGTCTCAGGACAGAATGCTGTTCCTAACATTGAAAAACACTCGTTTTTGCAGGACCCAGGTTCTGAGTTAGAGCTTATGCTTTACAAAAGAATGCTTCTTGAAAATTCCTTGGTGGTCTGAATGCTAGAGTGTCCGCTGTGTGGGCAAAGCTGGTCACCTGCATGTTTGGTTCCTAGGATCAGTCAAATCTAAGAGCAAAAGAATGCTTTTTGTGCTCTGTCCTTTTTTTTCCTTGTTCCCATGCAATGGTACACCGATTGCTATTCAAAAGTCACCATTTATCAATACTCACTGAATCATCATCCTCCTTATTGATACTGTGTACCATTATCAGGTTTCTGTTACTGCCTGTCAACTCAATGGATTTTGACATTCAGGACTACTCAAATATGTATCAAAATATAAGTATGAATTACAAATATCACAGATACTTCATACTCTAAATAGAAGGGAAACTGGAGTATTGCTTGCTAGTGATGATTGTGAGGTATTTTACTTTCTTATTGCATATTCTGTTTGTATTTCAACATCTGTAAAATGATTTTTTTTTTCCATTTTCAAGAGCTTTAAAGCTCTTGAAGTGTTTATTTTAGATTTTGTTCCACCACAAAAAAATGATAGCATAGTGCTTAGTAATGCAAGTGGCTTCTTTTTTTCTTATATTAAAATGTTGCTAAAAATGACATGGAGATTTTTTGCTAGACATTTACTTAAACTATTTATTCACTTCTTCAGCAAAGAAATTAAAAGAATCAGGAGCACAGATATCTAAAGATGTACACCAGACATTAATTCCAACAATTGTACACAAAACAGTACCGTTTACAGAAGCACTTTTGCTCTTTGGCTGTCGTTGGTGTGCTCCAAAATCTTTTTTCATCTCTCTTACTTTTTGTCAATGGTCATTAGTGCTTTGCACATCTCTCCTGAAGTTTAAACTACCTTGGCTAAGGTCCATGGTATGGAGTACAGAAGCTTGCTTCTGCTGCAGAGAAGTTGCACGTTGACGTATTGTGGATATATATGGCTTGGATTTCCTGACTGCGTGTCTGTTCAGGTCTTTATTCACTTACTCAGTGTGCTGGGATCTGAGTCTGTCCAGCTCCCCAGGAGGTCTGAGAACCTCATCAGCATCACTTCTGCTTAAATACAGAGGCTCACTCCTGGAAGAGCGAGCATATGTAGCCTTTTCATTGTACCTGGTAGAGCTTTCAGTCATTTTTCAAATACAAAATGCTTACAAAAGAAAGCAATGCCATTTTCTCCCTGCTGGCTTTCTGAAATCTCGTGTTGGGAAAAGCACTTACCATGTATTTCATATGAATGGAAAGCTCTCGGTAATGACTGGTATTTCTGAGTCTATTGCAGCCTGTGCAGCTGTTGAAAATGTCATTGGGGATGGCAAAAATAGGGAAGGATTTTAAGCAAGGCCATGCACCATCTGACTTTGATATTAGTTGAGAAGGAAAAAAAAAAAAAAAAGAAAAAGCAATAGGATGCTTGAAGAATAGAGAACCTGTTGGATGTAAATGCATAAAATGGACAAAAATAGAAAAGTGTTATTACTGGTTCTTGAAATCATCAGTAAAATGACTTTATTCAGAATACTAGCTGGAAATCTATGAATTTTGCAGACTCTGTGATTGCATTTCACATATCTATGGGGAGAAGTTTGAACAATAAGGCCAACATTAATATTCCTGCATTGAGATGTTGGTGTAATTCTTTGACAGTGTATGCTGAGAGGTTGAAATGTCCCTAATGTTTTCCAAGTCAAATTTTTATTAGTATTACTGACTAGACTCACCTTCTGTGTCCAGTTTTTTGTCAGTTATGATGGAAGTATGATACTATCTTTTTCTGTATTTAGATGTGACTAAAAATAATTCTGGCAACGTGTTGCCTCACATCTCTGCATGGGCTTCTGATCTTTCTCATCTGGACAGAATTTGGAAGCTTTCTTCTCTTTCTTACGCAGGCATTAACCTTGTTTCTCTCCTTTGTTTCTTTCTATTCTTATCTATGTTTGATTTTTATTTTTTTTATGCACTGTTTCTTCACTACTTCTCATACATAAAATTCTCTATTTTTTCCTTTTTATCCAGTCATTTTTCTCATCTTTCTGGGTTTTTTTAAATTGTTTGTTTGCTTTTGACTTGTGTCTTATGTAGTGCAAGATCACCTGATGTTTCTGAGTTTTAATGTTCATGGAATGCTCTACTACAAGGTTGCCTTGGGAACTAAGGGAAGACCTCATTTTAGAGCCTGTGATGCTTTTTGGGATCAATGGTCATTTGTTCATCTACCATATGCACTTAGAGAAATTAGAAGAAACTTCCCAAGAAACTTCAGGGTCTCAATTGGGCAAATAGAATAGAGAGAATAAGGACCAGAAAATAAATTGGTGTGCATGTCCCTTTTACTGTGGTTCAACAAAGTGATCGCTGTTCATTGTTTCATTGCGAAGGAGACGGTATATACATACACCATGTATAAACCTTGAAGAGATTGGTTTTACTTTGTACTTGAAAAATACATTTAGGATGAATATGATTTCTATTTGTGTTTATTTCACTGACAGGTATGGATAGGGCCATTATGTTACCTGTGGATGTTGCTGGCATCTTAACTAAACGTTGTAGCACCAGATAGCTTCAGATGTTTCTTATTCTCAAACTGCAACTGCACACGGCTGTGGTAATAGCCGGTTTATTCAACCTGCTTTACAGACTTATTAGTGCATATTCATGTGAGGAATTTCATCCCTTTCCAATATTTCCCAGCACTGACACTGAGACGTGCATAATTGTACCTCATAGTTGCTTCTGAGTACCATCTGTGAGACTTTGTGAAAGGCTGTTCAGAGATGTGATTGTATTGGAGCACAGAAAACAGATACCTAATAGGTCTTTAACTGAACAAATCATGCTTATTTTTTATGCAGGGAATAAATCACAAGATAGTGGGATTGCAGAGATGGAGGAACTTCCAGTCCCACACAACATCAAAATAAGTAACATCACATGTGATTCCTTCAAGATTTCTTGGGACATGGATTCTAAATCCAAGGATCGCATTACTCATTACTTCATCGATCTCAACAAGAAAGAAAACAAGAATTCCAACAAATTTAAACACAAGGTAATTTTAGTTTAAAAATCAAGATGGAAATCCTTGATTTTAAATAGATGAATCTCAGTGTTTTATTAACCTTTCAAAGACAGACTGTGGGGAACAGGTATTGGACATGCAGCACAGGTGAGTTTTGATTAATCTGATTGACTTTTTTTTTTTTTTTCTCGAAATACCTTCTCTGTCTCTTGCCTATGTGCCTGTACACATGAATAAATTTGTTTCATAGAGGACTGAACATTACCTTTTCTATTTCATTTGAAAACAGTTTTGGAACCTGTACAGTGTTTTGCAAGACAGACATTTTTATTCCTGACTAGGTCTTAGTCATTATTTAAACAATTTATGTATTCTGTGCCTGTCCTTGTTCAGTGACAGACTCATGAGAGCAAAACACGTTGTTTCAACAGAAGAGTCACAAATTCTAGTGCACTTCTAGGAAGGCTTCCAGCAATTTTAGTTTGCAGTATTCAGCACTGTGACCTGAATATTCATCCAGCTTCTTTCCTCAAGCCACTGATGCAGGGACATATTGAGTGCATTGCAGAATCTGTACTTACCAAATCCAGCAAAATTTGCTTTGACCTCACTATAGTTGAAATATTGAGATGTCAAGAGAAACATGGAAAGAGATAGAAGATGAAACAATACAATCATCTACAAATTTAAAAACAATGTTGGCAATCTCTCTAAAAGATAAGGTTTTGCGAAGGCGCAAATAACCATCCAGACAAATATGAGTGCTCTAATTCTATCGAAACCTAAATTACTATTGGTTTATAAGCCAGTGGGATAACCAGGAAATATTTCCACCAATTTCTGAGTCTCTTTACTGTGAGAGTATTTTTCCTGTGACTTCTATTAATAGCAGGTGTATAATTTTCACATTTCCTTATTTGACTTTTTCTTTTAATGTGGTTGGAAGTAACATACGCATTAAGTGTAATGAAAAATCACTAACTACTCGTTGAAATTGAGAATTTTACATGTTTGGCCGAGATGTTGCAGCTGCTAGGAACCACTGTGCGAAGCACTACCAAATTTAATGTTGTAATAGGCATTTATTACGACCCATTTTTAATTGCAATAGCAAATAAAGTAAGGTATGTTTGTTTTTTTCTTACTGTTATTACTTGTGGACTGACAGCCTTTGAATTTGAATTCCCATTTTATACTGCAGGAATAGATATATCTTCCAATATAAATACCTACTGGGATGGATTCTTTAATTTCTTTCATATTTTTGATCTACATGTGTCCTAGTTTTGGCTGGGACAGAGTTAATTGTCTTCCTCATAGCTGGTATAGTGTTGTGTTTTGCATTTAGTGTGAGAAGAATGTTGATAACACCCTGATGTTTTAGTTGTTGCTAAGGAGAGCTGATCCTAAGTTAGGGATTTTTCAGTTTCCCATATTTGGTCAGTGAGCAGGTGCCTAAGAAGCTGGGAGGGAGCACGGCCAGGACAGCTGACCTGAAGTAGCCAAAGGGATATTCCATACCATAGAATGTCATGCACAGTATGTAAACTGGGGGGAGTTGGCTGGGAGGGGTGGATTGCTGCTTGGGTGTCAATCAGTGCTGGTAAGCAATTGCATTGGGCATCACTTGTCTTTTCTTGGGTTTTGTTTCTCTTTTTTTTTGGTTGTTATATTCTTTTTCATTACTATTATTATTATTGTTGTTGTTGTTATAATATTTTAGTTTAGTTTAGTTATTAACCCGTTCTTACCTCAACCCACAAGTTTTACTTCTTTTTTCAATTCTCCCCCATCCCACTGGGAGCGGGGAGGAATGAGCAAGTGGCTGCGTGGTGCTTAGTTGCCCGCTGGGGTTAAACCATGACTTGTTTTTTCATACATGTGCAAACTAGTGTAAAGTTGTAAAAATTGTTTTTGTAAAAGGTAGAGCCACCCTAGAGAATCAAATGCTATATACACTTCAAAATCTGTATCACAGTGATGAAACTAGTGCTAAAATGGAGAGGGACAAAAAAGGATATTGGTAGTGTAATAAAGATAAGCCATTAGATTTATTTTGTTTGTCTCAGCAATTCCCTAGCTTTTTACTGTGATGAAGCATTTAGTCAAGGGAGAGAGGTAACTGGTTTTGTAAGAACAGGAGACTAAACTCTATCAATTAAAATGATTAATAAGTTGGATGTCTTGTCAGGATTAACTTAAAATTACTCAGTACTAATTGTGTTAGTGACCTGGTAAAGCTTTTTTTTTTGGCTTTTTTTGTTTTTTATTTTCCCCCAGCCAGAATGATGGAAATCCAGACAGCAGACAGGAGAACTGCACAGACTGAATACTCTAACTGTTATCTGTGCCAGAGCACATATGCGTTTGCCTTCAGGCATCTTTAGTGCTAAGTAATTTTTAACACACTTTCTAGAATGAGCTTTTGTTGAGAACTTAAGAATTGCTCAAATTCAAAATTTGCTCTAACCTTGGTATGGTTAGAGACAAGCCTCCTTCCTCCCAATAACGTTAGTTATATGAGTTTGACAGCTGAAGCTCAGCAGCAGACCTGCTGAGTAGGGAGCTGATTGCCTGGCAGCTGCAGCACCAGGGACTGAATCTTCCCTGCATCCAGAGGGAACTGAATTAGCCCACACTCATCCATTGCTTTCACAACAAAGCTGTTGTATAAAGGTGAAGGATATCACTGCCCCTTCTCATGGTAGAGTTTTTTGGAAAGAAACGAGTGAGCCCTACCACTTAGCTATAGAAAAGAGCCTTGGGACTTACTCTCAGGAGTCATCCAGCAGTCAGGCTGTGGAAGGAGATGGGCATCTTCAGGGGAAAAAAAATCATCCTTGCTTAGCTTACAGGTAGGGTAAATCACTGACTGCAAGTGCCTGTCTCACTCACAGGTGATAAACCCAGGTGACCAGCTTAAACTATTTTCTAACTTGTAGAGAGGGTTAAGTCTGAGTTTGCTCTCATGGCTGTGAGCAAGTGACTTGGCACATAGGCTTAACCTGATAGACAGGTGCTATACCTCAGGAAAGAGGCCTGTTTGTTTTCCTTGTGTGCCCAGGTGAGCACACGTGAATGATTCATCCTTTCAATACTTTTTCTGTTGGCAAATATATAAAGTTTGTTCAGCATATTTAGGGTGCATAGAGTTTTATTACTTATGACTAGTGTCATCGTATCTGTGAAGGAGGAGGTTTGTGTTGTATGTAAAGACTAGAATTCTAATAAGGCTTTGTTTTCTCAATGCAATTTGCATACCTCCCCTCTTTTTCAAGACACGGAAGTATGATAAATCCCATGATATTTAGCAAAACTAGGATTAGAACCTCAGTGTGCTGAGTTCCCACAATGTGTCCTATGAGCAGACCTGGCAAAGGGAAGCATAAGTTCAAATGGGAGAAAGCTGAAAATTGAAAGTTGCTTCTTTGGCAACGAAAAGGGACTGCAAAGCACGCATCTTTTCCCAAAAAGGAGAGAGGTAGTGTGACTCGTATACCTGGCTGCTTAGTTATTCCGTGCTTCCAGGTTGTTCTTGGAAGTTATTACTGTCTGGGTACCTTTAGAGTTGTCTGGAGGGTGCTGGTGGTGGAGCAGTCATCTGCCACTCCAGAATCCCGTCTCTCCTTGAGCTGGTATATATCTCCTTTGCACTTCTTTGGGGCTCAGCCAGGAATGAGAGCTGAGCAAAAGAGAGATGAAAGCAAGAAACTGAGAATCCCCAGAGAAATTTCAACATGAACATTTGAATATTTTTTCCTGAGTTCAGTATACCAACTGACTTAAAAAAGAAGAAAATAAAAAAAAAAAAGGAAAAAAAAGTGTTTGCTTAGAGAAAGAACAACAGATTAGCAGATTAGGATTATGAAAAGCATCATATCTGCCTCTCCTCCCCAGCTGTGCAAGAGATAAACCCCTCTGTTTAGTGTGGTTTTAGGTAATTGCCCCTTTTTTGGTACAGTTAGAAGAGTTTCCTGCTAGACAGCTGGAAGGTAAGACTTTGACTCATGGGGGCAATGAGGCTTTTGATGTTACATGAGAATTGACAAGATTAATGGGGGCAAAACTCACCACCAGGTTGTGGGCACAGAGACCTGACCGAGGTGGAGGCAGATGTTACCGTTGCCAAAGAAAAGATGACAGGAGGACTAATGATTGTGACTGTAGCAGCCGCTGACTGCATTAGCAGTAGCAGACTCAGTCCCATGGGATGCCTTTGCAATATAGTTTCAGGGTGGTAGCTTTAAATGTCGTTTGGGGTTTCTTTTATTTTTTCTTGTAATTTTTCTCTATCTTCTATACATTGTTTATTTCAGAGTGTACAACTGAATGCTTTACAGAGAAAGTTTCTCCCAACTGTTACTTGGTTTAAATGAGAATTAGCAAAAAAGAAATCATGACAACAAAATCTTACCCTTGATTATCCATCAGTCGTATTTCAGTTCTTGGAATATCACAAGCTGCTGATTTTACAGTTCCTTAATACTGAAACCAATGAATATTTTTTGCTGACAGAAAAACAATAGAAGAAAGATATTTTTCCATGATAGAAGACAAGCAAAAAAAAAAAATCTTTCAGGTCTTGCTTGCAAATCATGAACAGAGAACGTCTCTCTTCTATTTCTTTTTTTTCATTAAGGGACTACTGTGCTAATATTTATAGGTGGATGACTATGGACTAGTATTTATAGGTGGACAGTTATGGATGTTATCTAAAATGCCTACTCTTCACATAGCAGCCATCTTACTTTTCTGTGATTGCTGATAAATATTCAAAAGTAAATACCTCTGTCACTCTGTCACAGCTCTTTGGGTACACTATGCAGAGAGACCTGGATCTGTTTAGCCTGGAGAAGAGAAGGCTGAGAGGGGATCTTATCAATGTTTATCAATATCCAAAGGGCGGGTGTCAAAAGGATGGGGCCAGACTCTTTTCAGTGGTGCCCAGTGAGAGAACAAGAGGCAACGGGCACAAACTGGAGCACAGGAAGTTCCGCCTCAACATGAGAAAAAACTTATTTCCTTTGAAGGTGGCAGAGCACTGGAACAAGCTGCCCAGAGAGGCTGTGGGGTCTCCTTCTCTGGAGATGTTCAAAACCTGCCTGGATGTGATCCTGTGTGACCTGCTCTAGGAGAACTTGCTTTAGCAGGAGGTTGGACTAGGTCATCTGCAGAGGTCCATTCCAACCCCTGCCATTCTGTGTGTGATTCTTTGATTCAACTCCACCGTGAGTCCTTTCACCCACAGTTCTAGCACAAGCTATCCCATTCTTCAATTTTTCTTCACCTTAGTGATCTGAAATGCAGTCTTCGGTACTGTAGAAATTATTTCAATAACAACAAGCAGTTATTCTTTGTTGCAGTATGGTGTCGTGCAGTGGAAGAGCAAAACAGAGTATCTGAAACGGTGGCAGGATGGAAAGATGTGCAATGACAGGCACAAATTATCTAGCTCTATATTTGACTTGTTCTGGCCCTTCCTGTACATAGGGGTATTTTGATACATGTAAAATAAGCGATTACGCTGCAACGCCTTAAATTTTCTCTATTGAAGTTTGGTTTGGAAGATATCAACAGCAGTATAGGTAGACTGATTGATGACAGGAGGAATTTTGTTTGGGTACACTGAGTGAAAGAAAACAATGGTAATGAGAGGACAAGAAGCTCTTAAATTAAGATATCCTTGTGCTCAGTAGTGTGTCTTTCTCTGTTTGCATACTTAAGCACAAATGGCCCTAGTCTGAATTGTATATTTGGGCTATATATAACAGTATCAGTTTATAGTCACTTGGAACCAACAATAAACTCGTACATGCAAGTTATCACCGTAGCTCTTAGAGCAGACCTTAGACCATTGTCCCCAGCCACGCTGTTAACTTTGCTGCACCAATGGACTGTGAGAAGTAACCAAGGTTTACACAGAAGAGCCAGGGGCTGGGGATTACATTGCAAAAACAGCAAAGGAAGGGGTGGTGGATTGGTTTGGTTGCACTGCTGACTTGTGTGTTATTTTGTCTTTTAATTTCCGTCAGGATGTACCCACTAAACTGGTGGCCAAAGCTGTTCCTTTGCCTATGACAGTCCGTGGGCACTGGTTCTTGAGCCCAAGAACAGAATACACAGTAGCAGTGCAGACAGCATCAAAGCAAGTTGATGGCGATTATGTTGTTTCTGAGTGGAGCGAAATCATCGAGTTTTGCACAGCAGGTAATATTACTGAGGAAACATGCACCACAGAACGCCTGCAATTGATGCTAACTTTGCTGCCTGAGTGGGTTAGCCATCTACCAGTGCCAGCTAGGCTGGCGGAGTTATAATAGTCACACCTGGAAACTGGAATTCTAACTTTAGGCTTTGTACCTGCTCAGGTTTGGCATGTTAATGAGCAGCAGCTGGACTGCCCCTTCGTTCTGCCATAGCTTAGCTGCCCCGAAGTGCTGTGCCTGGCACTACCGCTTGTCCCAGGCTAGGAAAGGAGCAGGGCCGCTTTTGTGGTGCCTTTTGCTGGCTACTGGCACCTGTGGAGAATAGACAGAGTAGCAGGTCCCTAAGACAGCATGCTTAAAACATTTTGCTGCTCTCCCTTCTCTGCATGCAGGAAAGCCTGAGCATCACTAACACCCTGTCTCGAGGACAGTTTAGCCCGTCATTGATTTATATGTCTCTTTGGATGTTCATCACCTAGTGCCAATGTGCTTGCCTGTGAGAAAGCTGACTGCTGAAGCAAGCTCTCTATGACTCCTGTGTTAGCTGAGATGCCATTTAGGCTGGGCCCTAAGCAAGCTTTTTTAGTTATGTGAATTGTTATTGGCTCATGACTGGGTACGTTGTAGCACACAGTTTATCAAATGGTATAAGCCAGAGAGGGCAGCTTTCAGTTCCTCTGCAGTCCCAAATACAAGGAAACCAGCTCTAGCACAGGAAATCCTGAGCTGAAATTTGCAGTAGGCTTGCAGGGCATTCATGGGGAAAATCAAACATGCATGTTCTTGCCATTTGTCTGTTGCCACTGTTGGAAACAGGTGCTGTGCTATATAGTTTCTGTATAGCTGCTGCATGATACAAGGTATGTTACCAAGGCTCTGTTCTCAGTTTTAAGTCTGCATGTTTGTGTAGCTTTTGGAGACTATTGTGGTTTTTCCTGCCCCCATACTAGCAGATTGTCTTTTCTTTCCAGATTATTCAAAAGTTCACCTGACACAGCTATTGGAAAAAGCTGAAGTAATTGCAGGCCGTATGCTTAAACTGTCTGTTTTTTATCGGAATCAGCACAAAGAATACTTTGATTATATCAGGTAAGAAAGTAAATATGTGCAAAATTCTTTGGCAAATTAAGGGCATAATGAAAATAAGTAAATGGAGGCAGCTGTGCCAAAGCTAGAGCAGAATGTCTGTGTGCTTTATTGCCAGTTCAGAAGGGAAAAAATAAAATATAACTCATTTCTTCCACCTTGCTTAACTCAACACTTCCATTAGGCAATAAAAGTTTATGTTTTGAAGCAGAAACTGAAGTACTCACAGGGTCTCCAGCCTGATTAAAGTGTCTGTTATCATAACAGAGTGTTTAGTAGCCAGATAACTTATATTGTACTAACTTATATTGTACTAAGAAATTTAAAGTGAGATGTCTAATAGTAGGGGTGTAAAACTGTGTGCATGGGCATTTGCCTGCATATGAGTTCCATCTCAAATACTTGGTCTTCACATACAACCACGCCATTTCTATGCCCAAAAGTAGTAATTTGGCCTCTGCAATCCAAATGTTAATTTACAGGTTGTGGGGAGGGAGAAGGGATGGTGCGTAGACCATTTTACAACACTGTGCTTCAGTTGTAATGAGTAAATAGAATAGCTGGAGGTAGACTCCTTATTCCTATTGGAGACCCAGTGTGCCTTCGCACACGCAACCAGCAGCGTCATTACAATAGAAGACATTTCAGTAGAAGGAGTCAAAGCTCGTGTGCTGACTGAGCAGGAGCAGCCACCATGCAGAGGTAACCTTCCACCGTTAGAAGGTAAGCAGTGTGTCGATATCTGTTTCAGCGCTGTCAGAAGGGTGGCAGCACTGACTATGCTGCTTTAATATGCATTGAGAGATGGGGCTGCTGCTGTGCCCCATAATTGCAGTTTTATGTGGGTGTCACACTAATACCTGTCTAGAATGGAAAGTTTTTTAAAATTAGTGAAGAAAAAAAATTAACTCAAGGGAATCCAACTCCAAAGAGCAGACACCACCACCCTTGGAAACATTCCCACTTTGTAGTCATGAGTATCTGCTCAATTCCAGGAGTGTCATGTATATTCCAGAGTGCGGGGTTTGCTCTTGCCCTCTGTGTTTTGGAAGAATTATTATATTGCACATAGTGACAAAGCCGCAAAATTCAATGGAGGTAGAGAATGAATTGCAGTTGTTGAGGCTCTTTGACGGCCTCCTAAATCTCTGCTGCCATCCTGGACTAGATACCACAGAAGAGAAGTGCCTGTGGTGGTTGTGGTTCTCCTACAGCTTTGTGTTCAACTATGTAATGATAGTGCACCAGCCTTTGTGTTCATAAGCTTTGAAAATTGCCACTGAGGTGCATTTATAGCTGTGAGTTTGGCCTTGTTCTGCCAATGTGACTCTAATTGATTGCACTGTATCTTTTCACCTCCCTCCTGTTATGTTCTTTCTTGGTTCAATACAAATAGAGGCAAGTTTGTTTTCCCTTCTGTTAGTGAGCTAAAGAGACCAAAAGCTGTGTTTTACCAGGTCAGTATGAAGCTAGAATACCTGTAACTGTCTGATGGTCACCTTTTCTGATCAGAAAGGTACTAATATGGTCACAAGGGCTGGTCCTTCCACAACGCACCCTTCTGAATGTTTTGTTAAAAGTCCTGACCACATGCTTCCTTTTAGGAAGAATTCCTTGTCATACCACACCTGCCAATGGCTTCTGTGGTGTCATAACTAGTAAACAAGCTTGGAAAAGCCTATAGAGTAGCTCTAGCAGCATTGACGAACCAGCAACTGTCACAGCGCTAAAGCAGTAACCCGCAAATGTAGGGTTTGAAGTGTGAGCTTGTAAGTGGTGTTCATGTCACTCTGCTGCTTACCTCGGCTGGGAGCGCCATGGCGCAGCTCAGGTCCCCAAAAAAAGAGTGACCTATAATTAGCCTAATTGGCCACTGGATGTCAGTATCTTGCCACAGAAATGGAACTGCAGGACACCTGGCTTTTCGGGTTGCAGAGATGGTGGTTATTCAAGCGGATTCTTTTTTTAACCCTAGTAATCACTCCAGTCGTAAAATACTAATTGTACCTCCCCACCCCAATCAATAACTTGTGAAACAGGGCTTGAGACAATAGCGATGTAGTATTTGAACGGCCCAGAAAACTTTTGAAATTTCTCTCTGACTCAAATTAAGATATGCTGCTGAGATTAGAAATAATGAAAAAAATCACAGTTGGCGACATTACTGAGTTGACTTAGGGCTGGTTTGCATGTATGCACTGAATTTGTTTGCTTTGACTGCTGCCTCTCGCTTTAACCTGGTAAAAACTTTCTCTGGCACAGCACCGTTTTACCTGGAGCTGTTGAAAGTTAAACACAGACAGAACAGTCTTGGCTAGTTTCCTCTCTCCTCAGAGGGGGAAAAAAGAAGGAAAAAAAAAAAAAAAAAAAAAAGAGAGGAAAGACGAGGGAGGGGTGTCAAAGTAAAGCAAGAGGGAGCATGTAAGACAGCCCCACAGCCTCATGCGTTTTTAATCCATTATAAAGGCATTTTCAAAGGGTCCCTAGTAAATCTGGTGTTTTGCAAGACTTACAAAAGGGAATGTTTCCCTTTCTGGTATCACATGGTTCCAGGTGCAGAGGGAGCCAAAGCTGTCACCATGACACTTCCACAAGTGTGTGGGGCACAAATTCTGGGGAATGTCCTGTTATACATAGAATCTCAGGGGCTAAGAAGGATTAGATGGGGTGCTTTGGACTGCTTTCCTAAATTTAGCAGCCTAATGCTGCTGGGTGCAATTTGGGATTCAGGGTTTTAAAAATTCACTTGTTACATTGAATGTTTCTGTTCACTGGAACCAAATTGAGCTCAGCTTGCAAAAAAGTTAGGCTTATACATTTTTTCCCCATAGGACTAGTGACTGCAGAAGCTGGATACCAACCAAAGTAGATACTAACCAAATTGCCTAATAGTCTGTGCCCAGCTCTGCTCTGATTGAAGTCAGCAGTAGACAAATTAGACCTGAAATTATCACTTGGGGGAAAAAACCTGTGGCAGACAGTACATTCCTTCCTATAAGCTCTTTGAAAAACATCATTCAGAAATAACTTTCCCTGGCAGTTTTCTACATGGAATATGTACTGCCTGTGCTAAAAACGTGCATTAACAAACTATATATTCATTGTGTTGAGACTGACTTGTGATTTTAAACGTGTGATTGAACTGAAATGTGTTTATTGTTAGCATTGTAGTGGAAGGCTGAACAAATCAGCTTATTAAAGACATTGGTGGTTTGGGGGCTTTTTTGTTTGTGCTATTCTTTGCCTGCATATAATACCCTCACAGCTGACAGAAGCCAGACTGGAAAAGATTTTCTCCTTGAACAGGAGTTATTCCAGCTCTTTCTGAGTCTGTCATCACTTGATTTTCTTGGTCCTAAGATCATGACACTAACCACAGTTTTCAGTTTAACAGTTTTCCTTTGTGTCCCTTCAGTACCATTACCAAACAGCGTGACATCCTAACTTCCCACTTTTTCTTTAACATGTGATACAAAATAAACAATACGAGTCGTTCATTTGTAGAGAGCATCATGGGAATGCTATGCAGCCCTCTGTTAAGGATAACAGTGGCAGCCATGGCTCGCCGATTAGTGGGAAGCTGGAAGGCATCTTCTTTAGCTGCAACACTGAGTTTAACACTGGGAAGCCTCCACAAGATTCACCTTATGGAAGATACAGGTTTGAGATTGCAGCTGAAAAACTCTTCAACCCAAACACTAACTTGTACTTTGGAGACTTCTACTGCATGTACACAGCCTACCACTACGTCATTCTCGTTATCGCCCCTGTTGGATCACCAGGAGATGAATTCTGTAAGCAGCGCCTTCCTCAACTAAATATAAAAGATAATAAATTTCTGACCTGTGATGAAGAAGACGGTGTCATGGTTTACCATCATGCCCAGGATGTTATTTTGGAAGTAATTTACACCGATCCTGTGGATCTCTCCCTTGGCACAGTTGCAGAAATTACTGGTCACCAACTAATGAGCTTGTCTACTGCAAACGCAAAGAAAGATCCAAGCTGCAAGACCTGCAATATCAGTGTTGGACGTTGAGACTTCCCTCGTTAACGTAGGAGCCTTCAAACCTCTGTTGCCCATTTCCATAGTCAGACATTTTTGTCAGAAGCATGCACATGCCGCTGTCACCAAAAGCAAAAACGAGTCTTCAAAATCTCCAATAGCGTTTTTAGTATTTCTTCTCTCCCTCTT